CATACTTGTGGGATGCCGCCACTACTACAGTGATCCTCCCTGTCCTCCTGGCCCTGTCCTGGATACCATTCAGAGTGCTTTGTATTTCAACAAATGCAAAACATTTTCTGATTGGGCAAAGTGGAACTGCACTACAGAGGCCTTTATGGCCTACAGAGGCCAAAGCTCAGGAAACTCCTAATGATTTGCTGGTGTGGGAGTGTAAAATCACAGGTGATTAGTCCTTGAGAATGTAAGCTCCAGTGCTAAGATTTTTTATCTTTCGAGCAATGGTGGACTTGAAAGCAGGGTGTCTCTTGCGAGGTCCCGAGCACAGGACAACAAATATTCTGACTTCCTGATGGAAGCTGTCCGACAATGTCAAAATGAGAAATTTCCTTTTGAATCTTTGGAGCAGGGCTTAAGGGTGTTAGGACTAAGTCCTCATTGAGGAAAAGATGGTCTTGGGCATAAGACTACATTGTCATTGTGAAGGATGAAGAACAGTTCCTTACAAGAGAGCCACCAGCACAGAGATGTATGACAGAGGCAATGGCAATCAAAAAGCCTACTTTGCAAGAGGCCATTTAGGGAAATATTCCTGATGGGTTCAAAGGGTGGTTTCTGCAGGACCCAAGGAAGCAGTGGTTGCTGCAAGGAGGGTTTGATGCAAGATGCACCTTGAATAAAGGTTTTGACAAGGAAATGTAAAGCTAGAGGTCTTTGAAAAGTCAGGTTTTGGGCCTTATGCATTCTTTTTCAGAGTGCTTAAGGCCAAATTCGGATCAAGACCTGATTACAGGAAAATAAAGCAACAAGTAGTCTCAGGGGTTGTTCACCCCAGGCAAACAAGAATTTTCTGGTATGATAGTAGATATTCTGTAAGTGGCTTTTCTTACTTTTAACAAGGAAATAATACCAAACTCACATACCTATCTCCTAAGACTTAGGCTTTAACAATCATGCTGTTAAAGCAAGAGGCTGAGATGCAGCACGGAATAGAGGGCCTGAGACAGGAGATCTGGCCTGTTGTGGAGAGGCCAGGGGTCATCTGCTAGAAGTCAGAGTATGTCTGTGTACTACCAGGTTCTTCTAGGCAAGTTTGGTAGAGTAAGAATCATAGGGTCCCTTGCTTGCTCTAGCTTTCTGACCAGGCAAGGTAAAATCCACATTGCGGGAAAGACAGATTACTCTGAACTTAGATCAGGGAATTATTAGGGCATCTGAAGCCAGCACTAGAGGATCCTTGGTTCTGGCCATAGTCAGAGGTAGTTGGTTCTTGAACCCAGAGGTAAAAGATGTCTACATCAGGAATCCCCCATTTCTGACATATTAGATATCTGAGTGTAGGGCCAATTCCCCTTGATCCACACAATGGTCAGTGAGGTAGTCTGTTTTCCAGTTGTCCACTGCTGGGATGTGGACAGCAGACATTGCTGGAAAGGGAGTTTCCATCCTTGAGATTATCTGGCTTGCTTCCTTGAAAGCTGCATGACTCCTGGTGCCTCCTTGATGGCTGATGTAGGCCAAAGCCACGGCATTGTCTAACTATACTCTAAGTCAGTATTCTCGCACAAGGATGGTCCAGCATTGCAGAGCCATTTGTATTGCTCTGAACTACAAGATGTCAATAGGGAGCATGGCTTCCATGGGTGACCATACCCCTGGGCTGTGAAAGACTGAAACATCCCATGCCAGTCTAAAAGACTGGCATCTATTGTGTTTTTTGTGATAAGAAAAGGCTTCCTGCTGTTAAGGCTGGGCATTCTTCAAGTTAGAGAATTCCTTGCTTGGCTGGACAGGAGCATAGGTATGTCAACAGAAAGAGCATGTTTGTTCCAGCTCGACAAGATATGGGTATTGGAGCAAATGGCACAGCATCAAAGAGGGCAACCATGAGGCCTTGAAATCTCACTGGTATACGTCGGATTTCAAATCTCGGGTGTGGGCTCTGTGAGATAGGATTTTCTTTTTGCGTGTTCAGGAACAGACCCAAGTATTCCAGGAAACGAGAAAGCTGGAGAGCAGAATTTTGGAAATTGATCACACAACGAAGGCTGAATGTGAGTTTTTAGACAGCTGTAAGGGAGAAGAGTCCTTTAGGAGAAGGTTGTCTAGGTAACCTGTGACTGGGATACCCTGAGTTCTGAGAGGGGCAAGACAAAGTGCTAGGACCATTTGAGAATATTCTGGGAGCAGAGCATAGGCCGAAACGCAGTGCAATAGCTGGAAATGGATGTATGCCACTGCAAAGAGAACCAATGAAGTGGATAAATAGGAATATGCATATCTTGGATGTCTATGGATGCTAGGTATTCCACCCAGTCTCAGGAAGGATATTACCAAGCTTGCAAAGGGGTCTTTTAGGTTCCATGGAATGGACCATGGCCCTGGAACTGTTCAGCACCCTGTGGCAGACTAAGACATGTTGCACCAAGTGCCAAGGTGCACGCCTGTGCAGAATCCCGGGTCCAAAGCAACATTCCCCAGGACAAAAACTAGTTAAGCTAAGAGTGGTTTCTATGTAAAGGAGTAGAGGTATGAGGTTAAGTGGGGAAAGATTAAAGGGGAGGCACCCAGGGGGCATGTCTTTGAAAACTCTTCCTGTGTACAATCACCGGAAGGTATAACATGGAACCTATGAATACTTTGTTTGTCTTGTGTTGTATAATTAAGTAAAAATGAAACATTCTTTGGAGCTGACCAGTACTAGCTCCTGAAGGAGTTAATCCACATTTTGATCTTGATCTTAAGATCTAATGATCTTAAAGACTCTATACCAAGTTCATGTTTTGGACCACATATGTAATTATACATGGTGATCATATTTCCCCTTAATTGCCTCTTCTTGAGAGAGACTACACTCAATTCAGCTAATCTTTCTTAACAGCTGAGGTTCACCATTCCTCTTATCAGTTTGGTATTATATTCTGTTTGGTATTCAATATTCTTTGTGAAACTGGAGGCCAAAACCGTATCGCATATTCCAGATGAGGTCTTACGAATGCTTTGCAAAGGGGGTAAACGTATGTCTCTCTCTCTGGAGTGTACATCTCTAAAAGTGCTACTAAACCCTCAACAGTAAAATCAGTCTGAATACGCAATAAAGCATGCTTGTTATACTCACTGAGGAACCTAAGGGGTTAATCCTCCACATTGTGTAAAAAGGCTGCTTGATCCTGTCTTCTCCGATCCTCCCCCTTCTACTATCCCCAATCCATCTGCTGATAGTACGGAGCTCTAGGAGTCACTCTGCACATGCTCAATTTAGTGTGTATTGATAGTTTTTTTTTCTTTGTGAGGGTGCATGTGATCAGCACAGGGCTAAACAGCGATGTCCAGAAAGAGGGTCAGGGGTCCTGCAGCCTCATAGGACAATCAGGGAAGACTGAATACTCCTCCAACAAGCTTTAACCAGTGCTGTTCTGCACACTGATAGAAGTCACAAGACTACTCTAACAGCTGATGAGAAAAGGTATTTAGCAGTTTATATTTACTAAAATAATTGCATGTCCATGTTCTGTGTACTGTGGGAGACCAGATGTAAAGAATGCAGGGTCCTGGGTTTAGTAAACACTTTAACAAAATAGTATTTTGATTTCTTTATAGAGTGCAGCTTGGCACTATATGCTATTGTTAAGTATGACCTATGATCAGAACACCCAGATCCTTCTCGACCATTGACTCCCCCAGGTGTACTCCTCCTAGAATGTACAATGTATGCATGTTTTTGGACCTCAAGTCTACATTTATCAAAATTAAACCTTGTTGCTATATAGTTGTCCATTCAAAAAACAGTACATGAAGGTCTGCTCATAGGTTGGAGACATCCTGTAAAATACATTACATTACACAACTTGGTGTCATCTGCAAACACTTAAATGGTAATTATAATCAGAGATTCTATATAATTTATAAATAGATAAAAAAGTAAGGGGTCCCAACACTGAACCTTGGGGTACAGCACTAATAACCTTAGACCAGAGAATGAATCGTTTACCGCTACTCTCTGTATATGAGCTTTTAGCCAATGTTCTATTCATTTACAAACTGAATTTTCTAAGCCTATAGACTTGAACTTATCCATTAGCCCTTTGTGGGGAGCTGTGACAAACCCTTTTGTAAAATCCCAGGATACTATATCCACAGCCACTCATTTGTCTAAGCTTTTGATAACTTCCTCCTAAAAAGAAAGCAGATTTATTTGACAATTTCAGTCATGCATAAATTCATGCTGACTACGGCTTGTAATATTGTTTTCTAGCAAAAAACTCACAAATAGTTTCGGGGCTATAGAAGTTAAACTGCCTGGTCTGTACTTATCTGGTAAAGATTTTGCTCCCTTTTCAAATATAGGCACCACATTGGCATTTTGCCAATCTAATGGTATCAAGCCAGTCATTAAAAAGTCTGTAAAAATTAAAAACAATGGCTTAGAAATAACAAAAACCAACTATTTAAGAATACTTGGGTGTATGCCATCTCGTCCAGGATGCTGTATTCATCTTTATTTGTCTAAGTGTTTCGGGATCATATCAATTTTACGCCTTTATGGTTCTTCTGGGGCCCTGTCAAAATTTTTGCTTTGCAAACAGTTAGAACCAAAAAAAGGTATTTAGCAAACGGGCCTAATCATGTATTAACTATTTAACAGAAAAAAAAAACTGCAAACATATTGAAAACGCAGATATGAAATATCAGTAAAAAAAAAAAAAAAAAAAAACTACTATAAATTGAAACAAAACTATTTTAGTTGCCCTTTAACTTAATATGCAATAATGAGTAAAATGTTCTTATGGGGAATAAGAATCTTTGCTGCACGTTTCACTTGCATAATCATGGGCAAGGTTTGATAAACACAATTAAAAACATGAGCCAAATCACATTTTTTTTTTTTTTTTTTTTGATACCTTTGTTGTCCATCAAAGTCTTCAGTGGGTACAGAATATTACCTTCATTTATGATTAAATGAAACCTTAGCATACTGTTTTGCTTCGTAGGTGCAACTAAAAATGATATACCTTGCTTTGCCTCCAGCTCCTCTGGAGTTAACTGTGGTTTCTTTTCTTCAACAACAATAGCTGCAGTGCTTAAGTTCTGGCTATTACTAGAACTGCTGGTTTTATTTTGCTGTCCATCTTTGCCATCGCCATCTTCCTCCTCTTCACTGTCATCATCTAATTTAACTCTGTTTTTTTCAAGAGGCAGAAGATCCGTTTCTTTCACCTTTATGGCAAAGCTTATTGGAGCAAATGATACTAGAAGCACAAAGGAAAAATAGCATCATCAAAAGTTTTACCAGGTCAATGTTGCAAATTCTATGCATATTAAAGATGATTTGACTACTTTACAGTTCATCATCTTTAAAGAAAAAAAAAAAAAAAAAAAAAAAAAAAAAAAACCTTTATTATCTTAAAGGAACCACAACTGGATCATACATGACAGTAAACATGGATAGGCATGATCAACTTTTTTGATCTCATCGACTAAAATCACAGCCGACGACATAAAGGGGAGCCAATTTGATTCCAAGGGTATCAAATAATGGCAAAGTAGACCGAGCTAAAAACGTGGACATTTTTAAGTTTAGAACTGTTTTTATTGTACATTGGAAATCCAATTAAAATATAGCAAAAAAACTAATATACATGCACTCAAACTAGAAGTTAATGCGGAGCTCCACCTGAAAGGGGAGGTTCCGCTTTAAGTCCCCATCCCTTGCTCCCCATTAAGGATTGGCATCTTTGGGGAGTGGCAGGTACCCACTCCAACTTCCGCTGCAATCGCCCAGGCGATCAGAAGTTCTCCTAGACCCAGCACCCCCTCCCCAGTCTTCTGGGACACCAGATTCCAGAATACTGTGGGACCACTCACAAGGCACAGGGCTGCTCTTGTATGCGCAGCAGGTACTCGGCTGTGAAGCCACAAGCTGTCACAGCCTGGTGCCCACACTTAAGATACTGGCGCCAGGGACACAAGATCACAGGGTGGCTGGTGAACCCAGCTGAGGTGAGGACACTGCTGGATCGTAGGACTAGTGAGTGGCTGTTTAACGGTCAAACTGCAGCTCCACGTCAATGAAGTTTCTGCCTCACCACATAAAATTATTTTCATTAAAAAAAAAAAAAAAAAATCAAAATTAGATAATTACAACAAATTAAAATATTGCTACACAATAGTGGAAAGAGGCTTTAAGCACAAAATTAAACACAGATAATGAAAAAAATCTTTGTATAGATACCTTTCAGTTTCCCATCAGATATAAGTTTGTTACTAGAAGATGCATCAAAGATGGTACTTGATGCTCCTGCGGCATTCGTTTCATCATCCACAGTATCATTGTGCATCACAGGGTCCTGTAGAGATTCTGTAGAAATGCTGTTGTCATCTGGTGATGTATATGGCTGTTAACAAAACAAGAAAATACATTAAAAAAAAAAAAAAAAAAAAAAAAAACTTTACTTTTTAAACCTCCTCCCCTCCAAAAAAAAAAAAAAAGGAGGAAGTGATAAAATCTAACGGGCATAGAGTAAATGAAAATCTAACATGGGTACTATCCTTTCCCTACCCTAAAAAATAGGGCATTTTTATGTTTGTCTGTATTGCTATTGGAGAACTCCCTCACTTCCTGTCTGGAGATCTCTTTAAACACTTCCCTTCCAGAGAATTCACCCCCACCCTCCTCTTCGTGACCAGGCCATTTTTTTTTTTATACGGCGCTGTGCTACTCTGACAATTGCGCGGTCATGCAACACTGCACCCAAATGAAATGTTTGTCCTCCTTTTTCCCACAAATAGAGCTTTCCTGTCGTGATATTTGATTGCCTCTGCATTTATTTTTTGCACTATAAACAAAACAAAAGAAAAAAGACTCAATTTTGAAAAAAAAAAAAAAAAAAAACCAAACTAAAAAAACAAAAACAATATTGACTTTTTGCTAAAAAACATATCCAGTAACAAAACAAAAAATCAAATTCTGTAAAATTTACTCCAAAATGTATTCAGCTACATGTTTTTGCTAAAAAAAAAAAAAAAACCCAATACAAGTAAATTTTTTGTTATACTAGTAATGGTGGCGATCAGCAACTTATACTGGGACTACAGCGTGCATTCTGACGCTGGGGGGGAATTTACTGCCACTGACATCCCAATGACACTAATACAGTGATCAGTGCTAATAAAAAGCACGAACACTGTACTAATGGCACTTGACAGGAAGGGGTTAACATCTGGGGCGATCAAAGGGTTGATAGTGTGCTGTTTTACCAAGTGTGTTGTATGTATTTTACTAGGGAAACATGCTGCTGTGTATTTCTCTGCTGTGTAGAGAAGTATACATCAGCATGTCCTTGCTAGCAGGAGAGAGACCTGTGTTTACCCACAGATCTCTCCCCTGTCACTGTTCCTTGGCGATCACTGGGTGATCGTGGGGAATCCTCGGCCGGGACCCGGTGATCGACATCTGTAGCAGCCAATGGCGACACAGGTAGGGTGGCGCACATGCACCCCCTAGCCAGAAATGCAAAATCACGTATATATATACACACACACACACACACACACACACAGACAGACACACACACACATACATACAGACACACACACACACACATACAGACTCACGTAATTTTGCGCAGCCCTGCCGCCCTGTAGCAGTAGTTCTGCTATAGGGCGGCCGGGAAGTGGTTAAAAGAGAAGTTCACCTTCCATAACATGTTGCATCCATATTCAGGGTGTAACATGTAACAAAAGGACTGTCCCCTAAACCCCCCATTTTGACAACTAGCAGGAAATCTTCTTCCTCCACTAGCTGCCACAATTTAAAAAAAAAAACAAAACAAAACAAAAAAAAACCTCACAAAAACCAGTGGCTGTGCGGGGCTCCGCCTGCCTGGGCATGTTTAATTCACAGTATCCTGTGAATGGGAAAACTACAAGTTCTGACAGCCTTTGCCGCTTGTCTCGTATTTTTCAATGTACTACCACCACGCTGTTGAGCGCTCTGGTAGTTCATCGATTCTTCCTGTCAGAGTATATCGGCTTGCCCGCACGAGGTCCAAGCACACAGATACACTGACAAGTCTGCAGGAGTGCTGCATGGCACCAGCGATCTGCTAATCGCTTGTGCTATGCTTTCCATGCTCACAAAACAAAAACCGTAAATGCTTTTTTTTTTTTAAAGTTGAACTTATCCTTTAATGTTGCCCTAGATTTCATTAAACCCAACAGGAGTTCCGATTTACCAATGTTTTTTTCCTAAAAAGTTTTGGTTTGATGCTTACCCTAAAGTGATTATTCAAAATAGAATTTTTGATCTACCATTAAAATCAGTTTCATGGAATATAGTATAGCACACCAGTTTTTTTTTAAATCATTATGACAGGGAAAAAAGCTGCTGGAACATCCCTCAAATAAGTACCTGAAATAAATAAATAACCCTACCAACTCCAAGCTAGCCTCAGCTTTATAGGAAGCAATAGTGAGATCATAACAACAAAAAGGTGGGACCTGTGTCCTCTACTGTACTCCAAAAAAAAAAAAAAAAAAAAAAAAAAAAAGATTTTCTGGGAAAGCCAGCCACAGCCAGCAGTGGTTATTGTATTCTGACAGCTGGGAAACCTCCCGCTGTCAGAATACAAAACCTCCATGGGAGGGATTCATTAATCAACACCGAAAGTGTTGATGGGAGAGTCGAGCAACTTTCTTTCCAGAAAATGGCTTAATGTATGGCCTGCCTAAGCAAAAAAATTTGATCCTAATGTACAGGACACAAGCTTCTTTTATAAGAGAAGTACAGCCAAAGCTAGTTTGGCTGAACGTCCCTTGTGGATCACAGGAGTCCAGTTCGTTCATTTTCAGCCGACACCGAGCTAAAGTCCACTGTTGGCTGATGTCCCTCATATGGGCCAGGCTGGGGAAAGATCTTGACTTTAAAGTCAGGAACCACCTAGATGTCTGGATCAGCACCTGGCTCAGCCTCTCCGTTGAGAGACTAAGCCAGCCACTCCTGCCCCTTCCACAGTCCAGTGCTCCAGTGAGCACCAGGGGAATGGGGGGGGGGGGGGGGGGTGGCAGGTGACAGAGACAGAGACAATCGACAGCTACCAAATCTATGCTGCATCCACCTAATTAAGTATGAAGAAAAAAATACTTCTCAAATCATTAAAACTGAAATATCCAAGGAAGTCCAACAGCGTTAGGCAACACAGCAAACAATACCAACTAGCCCACAGAATAACTCGGCAAGAAGGGTTGAAAGACTCACAAGCTTGTAGCATGCTGTAGCGTGATTGAAGCTAGCATCAAAAGGAGGGCTGTACATCCACCTGGTAGAGCGTATATGTGTTAACAGAAGCCCAGGTGACAGCCTTGCAAATCTAAGATACAAATACCTAATGCTGAAAAGCCCATGAAGCACTAACAGCTCTGGTAGAATGTGACTTAACAGGGAAGGGAGGAACCCCATCCTTCAGAGTACAGGCTTTAACAATAACCTGTCTGATTGAGCTAGCAATAGCTGAGTGTGTTTTTTGAGGACTCTTTTAAAGCTCTCAAAGAGGGAATCAGATTTCTGTAAGAAAACCGCAACTGAGAGCTAAACTTTCACAGCACATACTATGTACAGACAGTGCAGGGAAATTTTCCTAGGATGTCTCAGAGCAGGTCAAAAGAATAAAAAGGACAATATCCTGATTGAGGCAGAAAGCAGAAATTGCATTTGGGAAAAAGGAGGCTCAAAACAACTTTCTCCCTATACAACACTGAGAAGGGGTACAACATACAGTATAGCAGCTAAATCAGAGATTCTTCTTGTAGTTGTGATAGCAACAAGAAAAAGGCAGAATAGCCAAGGCCAAGACCGGTGCCTTGATTGTACTCAAGGCCAGATGCTGGTACATACTGGATTGTACGAAAGACAAAATACAACCCACACAGTACTTTCTAGAATGGATATTCCTCGCCTCAGATGGTAGGCTTTGTATAAAGTTTACATCCTGACCTTTAATAGGCTAGGACAGCACTCATAAGGCCCCTGTTCCTCATGGCAGTAGTGTCAGCCATGCTGTTAAAGCCAGCGACTGAGAAGCTGGATAGAACACTGACAATGTCCAGATGTTCTGGAAGTGCCCACATAGCATCTGCCAGGAGTCAGCACATATTTGAGAACCAAATCCTTCTGGGCTAATTCAGAATGAGGAGGATCACTGGAATGCCTTCCATTCCAATTCTGCAAAGTGGGCATATATTTGGAGGACTGAAAATCTTTTCTGGAGTGATCTGATCATAACATATTTCCCATTCTATTTGTTAATGAACAAGGGAACGTCTAACAATTTGTGTATGTCTCTTTGTGCCCAAAGGTGACTGGCAAGATGGAGTAGTTTCAAGAACTACAAAATAAGGCACAGCAGCAGTTAGCTTATCCACACTAGCAAGAGTATTGTGTGAAGCTCCCGCTTAGTAAATAAGTGTTGGGAAGACTCCTCTGACACAGTTTCTATATAGTCTTCACTTCCTTCTGGATCTGCCTTGTCTAGGACAGGCATATCAGGATCAGACTCCAGTAAAGATGGAGGAGCTGGATAAGGGGCAAGGCATTTTGTAGCCCTGGACAAAGATAGCAGTATGAAGGTCATTAGTTGTCTGTGGAATTGTGAAGAGGCAGAAAATTCTGCTTCTGTAAGGAAGGCCACTTGTTGCCTGCCTTAGAAAGAGCTAAAATCTAGAAGCTCCGATACAGAGGCCAGTGTGAAAATTGGTTCCTGCTCTTGTGCAAGGGAATCATCATCACTCTGAAGTTAAGTGTTGTGTGGGCCCTAAAGTGATATTAAAGGCAGATTATCGAACATGACATACTTATCCGTTCTGTGCAGAGGTTTAGCACCGAGGAGCCCCCGATCTCTCCCCGCCAGTACCTCTAGTCCCCCCCCTTTCCCTTCTGCTGAGTGCCTCCATAGCAAGCAGTTTGCTATGGGAGCTCTCGAGCCGCTACTGTGTGTGTCCATTCACAGACTAGTGTGGCTCAGCCTCACCCCCCGTTCTCTCATTAGTTCACTGGCTTTGAATGACTGTGGCAGGAGCCAATGAAGAGGAAGAGTTCCTGGAGAGCCACTGCTCTCGTGCCCATCACGATCGAGAGGGGGCTTAGGCAAGTATTGGGGGGGAATGTCGCTTAACACAGGTGGTTTTTTACCTTCATACAGGATCATGGTTGAGGAAACCTTCAGCAGGTGGTCATCTAAGTACCCTGTGATATGAATGCCCTGTGTCTGTAGAAGAGTAAGAAAGGGGGAAAGCAGAGTGTTTTTTGAACACTCTGGGAGCAAAGGAGTCCGAATGAGAGTGTTACACATTTTAAAGTGTTGGTCTCCAAGAGAAAATGTTAATGTGAGGGGAGATTGGA